CTGCTGAACGCTGCCCTTCCTCCTCCTCTTCATTCTGAATGAGTGAAAAAAGCATTGACGATCTGTCTTTCTCTGCCCTCTTTACTCTCATCGCTCAAAACATCTTCATGTGATCTCTCCTCCTGCCTACAGATGTTCACGTGCTCCTGCCACCCCAGGGAAACACCTTCTCAGGGGCACAGGCTGGTCAGTCCTGCTGCTGCCCTCGGGTGCCTCTCTCCACGGAACAGATCATGTCCTACGTATTAACGTGTCTTTTCTTCCACAGGTCTTCAAACGTGTCATGGGCCCATCTCCATTCCTTCATGGCCTTCTCACAGCTTTGATTAGGGAGCACACTGCTGCTTCTCCCGTTTCTCTGACCGTAACTCTAATTTCCTTTTTATTCAAGAATTCCCCAGCACCTAATACTCTCTCCTTGCTCCAAATCTACTGGCAACTCAGAAGGTTTTGCTTCTTAGCTGCCTCACAGAGCACTATCTTCTTCCTCCCAACTGAGGATAAAGAGGCTCAGCAGGAGAAGCTCTTGCTGCAAATGAAAATGCCAAAATACTAAGGTGAAGCACAAAGTATGCACAAAACATTCGTAACAACAAAGCGCTGCAAGGTATAAAAAGCATGCAGGTAGGGTAAGTACAACTTCTCTCCTAAAGGGAAAGCCAGGATGCAACAATACCTAGTGGATGGGAATCAGAAGAGTCATTCCAGAGATTATTCTGTATTACTTCTCCATTCCTAAGCATGTATGTAATTTAAGCAAACAGAAGAAAGCTGGGTTTAATCTCCATAGGCTCTTGATCGATACACATCTATCTTTTCCTCATCACTGTAAACAAACAGACAACAAAAGTTTATTATACTCTAGGTTTCAAAGTGTTTACCCTCAGTGTTCCCACTGAAATGCTGAGCTGATGAACAAAACCGCAGAAATGAACGTCACGAGACAGGGGTTCTGCGTTCTCTGGTCCGTTCTCTGGGCTACCCTGGGCAAAACGCTGATCATCATTTGCACCTGCACCCCAGCAACAAAATGTAGTCTGGGGAAGCTCAACTCCTGCTGGCAAAGCGGGCGCAGCTCCGATGACTGCTGAGGGCTGCGAGGGCATGGGCAGGGGAACGACACCTGGGACCCGAGAGATGGTTGCCCATTACAGCGGGACAGTTGCCCTTTACAGCGAGAAGGGCCAGAGCTGGTCCTTCCTGTGGCACCCTGCGAGGACTCACCCAGGAGCACACAGCGAGCAATGGGGAACACTTTCTAGTTACACCGTACCGAACAACCCAAGATGGTTCATATCTGGATCCCAGAAATAAGTAAAAACACTTGGGATAGTTGATTTCTCAGCTGTTAGCTGAGTCTTTCTGCAGGCACTCATGACAAACAAACTAATCAGTCCACAAAAAATGTGCGATTTTGCCCCTTCTCCCTCCTTTGTTTTTTAATTAGTACAAAACAAGCTTCCTAGGAAAATAAAAAGGAAAAAAAAGGACACGTTGGAAAGGAACCAGCTTCCAGAAACACTTGGCATTTTCCACAGACTTTATTGGATTTTACGTGGCAATACACAGTAGTTATGTTGCCCTCTTCAAACACGCACACATTAAAATACTCCAACGGTATCAACTGTGCACATAAACTTGCTGACTTTATCACTTGCTTTTGTATTCCACCCCCATAAAATAACCAAGGTTCAGATGATAGGCAGCTTCGAAGGGACCACCTGGTTTCCAACTGGTAAATGCAGTTGTTTGGAGAGAATGCTACTTCCACTGGACTTAAAATAAACCATCATCTGCCGTTGCTGATATGCTTGCTAATAGCACTGGACTGAAGAGAAAATGGAAAGTAGTTGTGCCTAGTTCAGCACATAATAATGTGTCACTAGCCCCCCTTTTTTTCTCCCCTGTGAATATCCAGTCATTAATTTCACTAGCCAGTGTCTAGTGAGAGTGAATCTGGAGAAATGCTTTTGCTCAGAAGTCTGCACCACATCTTCCCAGTGCTTCTGCAGCATTTGGGAGAGCAGGGTCTTAAGTCCAACTTACATGTAAAATAATACCCATATTGCAAAGTACTCACAGAAAGCGAGCCCTCAATTCACATCCCAAGCATTTGCACCTTAAAGCTGATGGCAGGCGTTACACAATGTGGTATTTCTGCCCGAATAAAATAGCTCCAACACCCCCAAGACTGCAGAGGAAGAAACAACAGACGGCAAATTATTTGCGGACATTACTTAGTCAGGAATTTTGAATAAAGCATCAGCTCTGATTTGTTGGTAGACAAATGGTAAGCAGCACGAACTGTTTTGTGTATACATTATGGATTGTTTGCCTGGCTCCAGATGCTAAAGAGAAAACGGCAGCACTTGATATTATCTATAACACAACCGATCCACATAGAATTTTTCATCTTGGTACATAAATAATAGCCTACGCTGCACATCCTTCAAAGAACCAGGCTGGTAGTAGCTTATCAGGTTACAATAATATAATGCTAGAATATGTCTCCAGTCTACCCCAACATCTGATGGGAGCTCCCTGGAAGCCCCTGAAAGAACCTTTCTTTCTTTCCCGGCTTTGTTAATAGTGTTTCAGAAATACCCACAGAGTCAGCACAAATCTAACCTCCCTTGCACCACACCAGCAACGTGTCGGAAAGGGTCTCACTTCCAGCAAGGAGAGCGATGAAACGAGCGACAAACGCTTGGTAAAGCAACACACCGCTGCAAGGACCAATTCCAGCTGTACTTTTTTTGCCTTTACAAAGCGAAGAAGCTTCATGCCATTGTGCTAAAATACATGCAACGTTCAACACCGTACGAACGACCACTGTGATAAAAAGTTACTTTTTTTGTTTGCTTTTGGCTAGGACACGTCACAATACTGAAAGGCTGACAAAAGATTTCCACTGGCTAGTTAGGATTTTTAAAATCTGATGATCTTAAAAAGCAGAGGAGCTGTGCTTTAAGAAGGTAAAATGACAAGCAACATGTTTGACATTTGAATTTTTGAGAAGTCCCACCTTAGGTTTAATATTATGAAATAATATATTTCCTATACATTTCTATATATAACTTTATTTTTTTTTGCAACTACACCATCTTTACGTTAGTCACAGCACAGAAATATCCCTTCCATACACAGGGAGTACTCTCAACTTTAAGGAAATTTTTTAAGTCACAGAAGTGTTAATAACCTTGTTTGAATGCTATAAATACTGCTGCTGGGAACAAGAAAGAAGACGTTTTAAAACGTGCAGTTTCCGTAAGAGTCACTGCTAGAAGAAACATGCTTTATAATTGTTTCACTCCAAATGGAAGATCATTAAACTGTGCACTTAGGAAAAAGCAATGAAAGCAAACAGTTCCAAAGGTCAGCCTGCCTGTTCCAGTAACCAGCTGGTACGCAAACTGGCATAATCTTTTTACAACCCTCTGCCCTTCCCCCACACCTCGAACTTTCCTTCACTCCATCTCACAAAATTTAAATTTTTGCTTTTATATGTACTTCATATACTTCTTTTTTCTTTTTCTTTTTTTTTTTTTTTTTATAAAACAGTATAAAAATAAGAGCAACAGTCAAGAGCTACCGGGGAGCTTATGCAAGGCATGGATGACTAAAATCCTACACTGGATACCGTAGGAAGGGCAGAGCTGGTATTTGTGCTGAACAAATGCACTTGAAAAAGAGCAGTAACATCTTTTTTCAGCTGAGAGCCTAGAGAAAACTGATGCACAGTATCTACAGACGCAATACTTCTACCTAACGTCTTCTGTTATTTTGAAACAGTACAAAGGATTATCTGAGGCCGTGAATAAGCAAAAGGAGCACTATCATACCACGTAAATTTAAATGCAACACTCTGAAACATATCACCAGTTTGTACATTAAATATAGTAAAAACAATTACCATTCACCAGTGTCTGGGTGTTTCTTATGGCAACTTTAGAGTAGGCACCTTTTTTTTTTTCTCCTTTTTTTTTTTTTTTAAATTCTCCACCCCCCAATATTACTTCTAACAAACAGAAGCAAGAGCAATGTAATGTACATGATCTGCTGCCCGTCATGTATAATGATGACGTTTCTTGCACATAGGAAAGTGAGCCTTTGTCAGTGCCTGGTGGTTATTGTCACACGTTGGAGTCCTCATCTGTTATACTGGTGCTAGGAGAGCGAGTCGCAAAGTCTTTAAACATTTCATCTTCTTTCAACATGTGCTAGAAAGGAAAGGAGGGAAGAGTCAAGGTTCAGGCCCTCACAACTAAAATCCAGCACCTGGGACGGTCCAGTCCTGTGCCCAGCAGCAAACAGCGCTGTCAGCCCTGCCAGCCACTGCTTCGTTCTGCTGAGGATGTTTTTCACCCACGTGGGTTCCTGACGAGCTCGCGGCTCAGTCCCCTTTCTGCTGGCCCAAACGGCGGGGGGAGCGCAGGCTGGGCTTCTATCAAGAAAATGCGCCATGACTCTCAGTTTGCAGCCCAGCGCCCAAGGGCAAGCCACCGGCTTAGAGCTGGATGCTGTGTCCCCTGCCCTCCCTTGGAGGGTGGAAAGTCAGCAAAGAGGGCTGGTGACCACAGGCCACCACTCCTGGCTGGGGGAACCTCCCAGCCAGGATGGGCAAGTATCTTCCTCAACCGCTAATTTTTCTTTTCCCCTCTGTCCCTGTACAAAAACAAGGACCTCACCTGACCCCTAGTTCTGATGAGGCTTCACTATACCCATAGTTTGCACAGCATTTGACATACTTTAGCCCTCAGAGACCAGTGGCGCTTCACTCTATTGAAAGACTAGGTCCCACTATGCACTGAAATAAATCAAAGCAGTTGCCCCCAAAACTACAAAACTCAGCTGTTTAACAGAGCCAGTAATAGTGAAGAAAAGTTGTACTTAGTGTATTTGTATTAAATAGCAGTGCTATTTAATATTAATATTTATATTAACAGCACCGCAATTTAATACTAGCGACTGCCAAGGGGTTTATATCCTTCTTACAGAAACAGAGATCTTATTCCACTTTCAAGCCTTACTGTCAAGTTGTTGATGCCTTCAGAAAATGCTCCTATTTGCCTCACTGTCCCTTCTGAATCTTCCATCTACAAAAAACAGATAATGAATAATGAATGAATAATAAATTCATTGTATGCCACGACAGAGTGGCAATTAAGTGCAGCAAATAATGCAACTGCTTGATTACACTCCACATGGTCAGAGCAAGGGAGAAGCGCGCCCTGCCAGGAGAGGAGAGGACAGTTATGCCAGAGTAGGTCCTAAAGGCACTGCATTCACAGCGTGAACCTCCTTGGGCTGAGAGACACATTTGTTAGTGGTGCTGTGTGACTGCAAGAAGTCAGGACCTTCACAGGCCAAAGCAAAAGGAAGGTTTCTCTGTGAAAAGAAAGGTTTTTCCATTGAACGTGACAGCACAGTCAAGGACTCCAAACTGCTAGAACTGGCGTACCTGCTCCAGCCTGTCCAAATCGTCATCGTCATATACTCGGATATCCAGGCCAGGCTTAAAACCCTTCTTCGACCCACTTCCAGATGCCCGCCCCAGCTCCATAGGACACACGTACTCTTCCACATCATCTTGCTTCTTCTTCCTCAGGCTCCCAAAATTGCTGAAGGCAAGTTTCTTTGGCTTACAAGTGAAGAGAAAATTGACAAGAAGTTAGAGAGTCAGCAAAGAATTAACACTTACTCTTGCATTGGTGTTTCAATGATGAAGGGTCAAAACCCCACTGCTCTCCTCAACAAAGATCTTCTGAAGAGCTGTATTTCACGATAGTGGCATCCAAAAGAACAAGATGTGTCCCCTCATTCTACCACTGTTAAGACAACACCATTTAAAGGATCCCAAAGGAGATCAGAATCCCACTGCATTAAACCATGAGCATATAAAGAGCAAGAGACAGTCTCCCTCCCAAACATCTTATTGTACAGACAGAAGGACAACACACAAAAGTGCCACCTCTTGTCTGTGCACATGAGAGGCTGAGATGTGGCACGTTCATGGTAGACACAAGTGTCAAACCCAGATCTGCCGAGTCCTGCCCTCATGCTTCCTTCATCAGCAGCCAGCCCCTTTTCTCAGACCTTACTGAACTGCTCTCCAATCACGGATAAAACCAGCACACTGGAGATCGAAATGTCTGCCCGGAAGTTCATGCACCAACCCAGAACAAGTGACCTACCTTTACTTTGGCGGTTGCTGTTAAGAGGATGTAGTCTGGGGACTCCATGGCTTCGCGTTTCTGCTGCTGGGCCTCCTGCCCAATGAGGAGGTTGAAATGAGTCGCCAAGTGCCGTCTCAGTAGCGTCTTGTTTGGTGGGATATTCAGCAACTGTGCCATGGTTTCTACATTGAAACGAGGCTCCAAAACCTATTAATCAAATCAGAGAGAATCCAGCTGAAGCAGTACTGACTGATGAGGTCTCAAGGACATCAACAGGCACACCTATCTTGGTCACTTCCTAAAGTTACTTTGGGGTTTCTGTTTGTATTTTAGAAGAAACATACAACAAAGAGAGAGAAAAGAGAGTTAACTAGTTAAAGGATTCATAAATGCTACCTCCAGGCTTTCCTTCTTGAGTTATAAATAGAAACAAATTGGCAGGTAATAGGAATAGATAAATCCACCCTTAACTCATGTAATGTGTGAAGCTGACACAAAATGTTTACCCACCATCCCCTTTAATTCTGGAAAACGTAGCCAGAGGAAGGATGGAAAATAAACAGACATAAAATGTTTGGAGCAGGGATACACCTCTTAATCACCACAACAAACTCCTGTAAGTATAAGTCTCTTGCCTGGAGTATCTGATGCTAGAGCAATTAAAAATGATCCTGGTTTGACAATGAAATCACAGATTTTACAAAAGTAACAGGCCTTCCTCACAAAATAAAAACATATCCAGGTCTAGGAAGGAAGATGGTGGCTGTTCAACAGCATGATAGCAGTGTACAGTGTCATAGGACAGCAGGGGGAGAATGCCATACCTGAATTAAATTGTGAGGGGGAATACAGATAATCAAACCCATTGCTGCCCACACTAATTCAGCTCAAGACATTTATGTCCTTTAAACTACAGGGTAATAAATTTTGATAGCGACTTCTTATTAAGCAGAATAAGAAGATAAGGTGTGTGCAGCAAAGATAATGTCAGAACTTTGCACTAGCAATTCTCAGCCATGGTTTTTTTTAAAATAAAATGGAATAAGCCAGCCTAAAACCTTACCATCAGTCCCCCATGCACGCCGCTCCCCCGCAGATTAGGAGCATACTCTGCCAGATCCACAGAGCGTAACCATTCCATCACACGATGATTGGTCCACTGGGTGACTTCAGAAGGTGTGACGTTATTCTGTGAACAGGAGGAACAGGCCGTTAAAGAGACTTCCCGACTCAGCAGCCCCAGTCTTTACTGAAACAAACCTCTCCTGCCCTCAATGAATGCAAGCTCACTTCGCGCTTGAGGAAAAAAACTTCTTTTTGGATTTCTGTCTTGCAGCAGTACCAATGTGGAGATGGATCTAGACAGTGGGCAGGTCTGTATTATGCTTCATGCCATTTGATTATCCTGCTGTGCACTAAGGCTACTTGCAATTTCTACCAGTAGAACTGAAAATTTAACTAGCTCCATGAGCCGCTGTGCTTTTCTTGCGGATACACATCGTGAATTTAAATCCAAGAGTCTGGGTTGCTTCATTATACATTGCCCTATCCAGCATACGCTGCTTCCAAAACAAACTGATGGCAGTCTCTCGTCTGGTAACAGGGCCAAACTCCTTTTACACAGAAAATTTTGACACAGCCACCAATTTTCCAGAGAGTTACACAAGACTCAATGGCAACAGTGCACTGAGTTCAAGGCGATTTATGTTCCAGACAGCACATCAGGGACTAAGCCAAAATGGCCAGCTGTTGGCTAGGAAGAGAAGCGGGAGATTTGGCAAGAGGACACAAGTCTGTGGCCGTGACAGGTGGAGGAAAGAAAGCGGTGTTCCAGGTAGCGATGGCAGAGCATGCGACTTGGAAGAACAACATGAGAAAAAGGAAACCAAAAATGAAACAGAATGAAATAGGAAGGAGAAGAAAGGAGGAGAGGGCAGAGCAGGAATAATCAGAAACACCAGTGAAAAACCCTAGAGGATTTCTCTTCACAGTTTCATCTTAAAGCTGTACCTCATCAGATGGCCTCCTGCGCAGACAGTTGGGCTCAAAGTTATTTATTCTCAAAACTTGAATGGCTCTTTTGATGCTGAGGTGGTGGAGGACGCTGACAACTTTCAAGGACAGCAAGTCATCCTGTTGAAGAGGAAGGGGGAGTTAAAAAACATAAACATGCTTATTGGTGGAACCAGCACCTGACTGGGGGAGACTGCTTCGGACCCTGGCTTAAAATGGCACATCTGACACATTCTGGGATAAGACTTTAATATGTGAGACATGTGACTAACGTCAAACCATCTGTCCCAAAATAAAAGCTTCCCCTGTTGCTCTGTAGTAGCTCCTGTGCAATGTTCTTCACATAGGGTACACAGCCTAGTACAAGAAACCTGGGGTAACGAGGAGGGGAGAGGGTGAGATGACACATCCTCAGCGATCTGATTAGAGCCAGGACAGCTTTCCAAACACAGTGCATCAGACTCACCTGGCATTTGCATTTAATCCTGCCTAAAGTTTTAACGGCACAAACATCCAGCCAAAAGTTTAACTGAAGACAAGAAATTACGCTGAAAACTGAGGCATTCTGTATTGTTAGAATGAAAAAAAAAGAAGGAAGAAGAAAAATACCAAGGCGTGTCATGTTGGTCTCCCACAACTGCAAATGATAAATGTTTTTTAAAATGCTTGTCACAAGTGCTGGAATGACCAGGCTGCAGAGAGGCTCACCTCAAGTCTCCTTGGCCCCAGTTCACCATCACTGTGTAGCTTGTGCAAGCACCCACTACGGTTTGAGGAAAGGAGGGCAGGTTGGCCAGGAGCGCCGACTCCCCCTCACATGTGCCAAGGGAGCTTGTTGGACACACGGGCAGCCTGAAGGTTGGCTCTGTGACAAGGCACCACACGGCAACCTGGCTGTGCCTTTACACCACACCATTTTCAGCATGGGATGAGCCACTTCTCACACATTGCAGGGCAAGAGCCTGCAAAGGCTCGGCCACACTCCTCCCTGCAATGCATCGGTGATAATAACAAAAGCAGTTGGTTCTTTCTCCAAAAGCTCAAGCCTCGCAATGTTTTTCACTTAAACAGCCATCTGACAGGGGACTTATTTTATGGCTCGCACAGACCGGCTGTTTAGGCTCCCACCAGCGTCCATGGAAAGTGTCAGGCATCTCTTAGGACAATTTGTGCCACGCTAAGGAATGAGGTAGTGCCTCACAGTGCCCCTCTCTCTGCACTGACCACAAGGCACAGACGACTACTTCTGGCCGGACGGGTAGCTTTTGGATGGCAAAAGCTGGGAGAGGTGAGTTCCCCCCTTCGTGACTACAGTAGCAAGCAGGAGTTTTGCTTTGGCTCCATTAAAGTTCCCTCTTCTCCTTCTTGTACTCAGGGCTCCTTCAAACCACTGAGGAGGGGAGAGACAGAGCCTTCTGGCACCCAAGGGGGCTCAATTCACAGAACACATGTGGCGGACAAGGGTGAAGGAGACACAAGGTTCAGCTGAGGCTCACAGATTAAAAAAAGCTGCTGGTGCTACCCAACACCCTGACCTGATGACAGGTTTGCAAACTAAGCAATGCAGAAGATTTTGCCCACCTCTGGTTTCATTCCAACAACTAGCCCCAGAAATTTAGCATTTCAAAAACAAAATAATCAGATTCTCTCTCATTCAAGGAGCCAAGCCATGAAAAGCTTGTAAGGAGGAGTATGTGACAGGCCTGGCTAGACTTCCCAGCTCGCTGGCTGCTGCCGCCGCTCCCGAGGAGTGCTACAAAAGAAACAACTCCCATGCAC